TGACTCTGATGTTTTGGCGCTTCACTTCCGCAACGGCATTTGTAAGCTTCCGTTTCTTGACCGGAGGCTCACCGATAAAGCTCCAATGGTCATCATCACTGTCTGCAGAATCAGAGGAGGCCATTTGCTTCCGATGTGCTATCAATGGGTCTGTTCTATACTGAGTTTCTGCAGTCTTTCACTGCAGCTGACCACTTGAGACTTTTCTGCGGCACACATCAAACAAAGCTACGAGGCTAGGTGTATGCATATATATATATATAGAGCATCTACGGACAGTATGCATTAACTTCCACATGCACCGGCCCCGCCTCTGCTGGAATGTCCACTTGATTGCCTTCCAGCGGTTTCTGCCGGCAGGTGTTATTGAACATCTATGTCTACAAATACCTCTATATATATATATATGCATAAAGAAGGAATTACTATGTATTGCATATATACATACATACGTGTCTGCTGCCACGACCACCTGGCCAATCATGAAAAGGAAACCATTTAGGCACTTGAAATGCCTGCCTCCACTGCTGCATCTTTCAAAGGCTGAACAGGCTCCTGCCGGAAGCGGAACAGTAAGCTAGGCTGGATCCAATTCCTTTGTTTCCTGTCCAGGTGCAGTTATCCAAAGGAAAAAAGCACCCTCTTAGAATGCCTGCGATTGACGTGGGTTCACGGTTTCCAGGAGATGTGGAAACCTGTCAAACCTTACTATATATATACATTTACATATAAAAATAGAGGGAGATTTGATATGAGCTGGAGGACACACATACGCATTAGCTTCCACATGCCCCAGTTCCGCCTCCGCTGGAATTTCCACTTGCTTGTCTTCCAGCGCTTCCTGCCAGCAGGTGTTATTATAGATATTATGGACATACAAAAAACAAATGACCATGTATTCTGATCCTCAAAATACATTTTAGGCACTTGAAATGCGTGCCTCCACTGCTGCATCTTTCAAAGGCTGAACAGGCTCCTGCCGGAAGCGGAACAGTACGCTGGGCTGGATCCAATTCCTTTGTTTCCTGTCCAGGTGCAGTTATCCTAAGGAAAAAGCACCCTCTTAGAATGCCTGCCCTTGA